GTCACCACGAAAGCCACCGGTGAGGTCCCGATTCTCGTGCAAGTTGGCGAGGTACGTCTGAAGGGTGAGTCGTTCGTAGAAGATCACATCTCGTGCTGCTACTGTTTCTTTTGTGTGGACGTCGAAGATTCTCCACGCGTTGTAATTTTTCTCGATGCCGAGGTGTAGTCCCCACTGTGCCCGTTGCGAAAATCTTCCCGCTCGTGCTTCTGGGGGTCTGTATTGTACCATGCACCCGAAAACTCGTAACATTTTTGTGCTGCCCTGCTTCCCTGCCCACAGCAGATGCGGTGATGCGTTGTTCGGGAGTGACGACGACGACAGCAAGTTGTGCATCATGACAGCATGGTCCATTGCTGCTGGCCACTGGTGGTTGGGTAGCCGCATGCCACGTAACAGTTTGCGCATGCTGTTCTGCAGAGTCCTGTTCATTCTTTCAGCAACGCCTTGCTGCTGATGTGCGTAGGGAAGGGAGAGGAGTTGCTTGATCCCCCTTTCCGCCAGGAACTGCTTGAAGCGCTGAGAGGTGTACTCGCCACCTCCGTCTGACTGGAAGCTTTTCAGTTGCGTTCCAGACTCTCTCTCTGCTATCGGTAGCCAGGCGGCGAATGCTGCGAGTGCCATGTCGCGGCTGGGTAGATTGCGATGCCAGACGTATCGAGTGGCAGCGTCGATGAAGGTGATGGTGTAGTTGTAGGTGACTTGTCCTGGTTCGCGATTGTAGAGGATGTCGCTGTAGACCTTTTCGAGTGGTGCGTACGCTGGAGCGCTCGGGTTGTGATGTGGAGCGAACGGTCGATGAGGTAAGTCAGCTTCGGGGCATATAAGGCAAGTCCCTCGTGCCTTTTGGAGTTCTCTGCCGTCGGGTAGAAGTAGGGAGTCTTTGTCAAGAACTCCTGCTCTTATCGTGTTGTTTAAAACCGTGTTGCTTGGATGTCCTGTGCGTGCGTGCCAGATTTCTTCAGATTGCTTGGACCTTTTTTCTCGGGTGTCCGGGTGAACGTTGGTATGCGTCGGAGTTGGAGTAAAAACTGGCGACGAAGTTGGCACTTCGGTGGACTTCACGTTGAGTCGGATTCAGCTGTTGCGCGGGTGTTGGTGGTGCTTCGTCGACTGTGACTGGTGTCGTTGTTCCTGCTGCTGCTGATGTTGTTTCTGCTGCTGTCGATGTTGTCTCTGCTGCTGCCGAAGTTGTTGCTGCTGCCGATGTTGTTGCTGCTGCCGATGTTGTCTCTGCTTCTGTTGTTTGTTGAATCGTCGCTAAAGCTCGTGTTCGTTATGCTTCAGGAATAGTGTGGGAGTACCAGAAACCTCCCGGGCTGAAGTCGGGGTCGAGATCCGGAGGGTGTGTCCAGTCAGTAAAGTTCACGATGGCGTCGCTGTCTGCAGTGCCAAGGTCGGGAACGAAGTCGAGGACGAAGACGTTGTTCTTCAACACTGCTTTCCCGATGTAGAGACCGCCTCTCCCATGGTATAGCTTGAATTCCTGGGTGGTGCTGTCGGCTTCCAGGTGAATCCCCTTTGCCATCAGCTGGCTAACACTCAGTAAGTTGTATCCGAGTCCTTCAGCGATGAGTACCTTTGACATGTGCAGTATGACATTTGTTTCTCTTGACTGAAGCTGTACCACTCCTTGTCGTCGTGTGCGCAGGTTTTGATTGTTGGCGACCGTGATGATCACTTCTCGCTGGAGTCGGTGTTCGCGTTGTACGAAGCGCCCGGACGAACACATGTGTTGCCCGCAGCAACTATCCAAGAACCAAGTGTCTTGGCCGGGCGGTTCACTTTGAGCGATGGCGGCGTAAGTCGGATTCGGGTGGAGTGATTCGCGGCGAGGCGTCCTGTTGTCGAGCTCCTCTTCTGGTGAGTAATGGGGTGGTGACTCTGTTGTGCAAGAATCGTTTATCTTTACCATGCAGTTGACTATGTTTCTTGCTCCTTGTGCAGGTTGTCCAGTCGAAGTCGTTGAAGCTTGGATCGTGGTTGTCGGACTTGCTTGTGTCGAAGCAACTTGGGAGCTTGAAGGTCGCAGTTATCACTGTGGTGTCGTTTGACGAGACGGGCAATGCGTGCGTGGGTGTCCTGATGTCTTGCAGATGTGACAAAACGGAGGTACTGGCTTCGGCTGCTGCTGTCGGTTGTTGTGGTTGTTGTGTCGTCGCTGAGTATGGAAAGCGAACTCCGGTGCTAATGCCTTTTTCTTGTGCCTTTCTTCTTGCAGGTCCATATCCTGTTGCTCGGCGTGGATTTCGGCGCAGAGTGCCGCTTCGGAGATCCTCCCGTGTGCTCGAAGAATTGCTTTGGTGGCGCGCCACTGAGGACCGAGGCCACCGATGACGACCGTTACGAAGGCGTCTTCAGAGATTGATCCTCCGCATCGAAGAAGCTTGTCGCGCAATTCGCGACATCGGCTGATATACGCCAACCCTTTTTCTCCTGGTTTCATTTCAACTGTTGTCAACTGCGCCATTAACCTGCTCTGGTTTACACTGTCTGTTGCCTGATACAGGTTCTTCAGATGGCCGTACGCGAGTTCCGCCGAGTTGCCGAAGTTCCGGTAAGAGCGAATCTTCTGCTGCTGAGTTGGTGTGATGTTTCTCAGTAGAATAGTATACGCCATCATCGATTGATACGTATACTGCTGCTTCTCATACTGTGTGCCGTTTGCTGGATACTGCAGGGATCCGTCGAAGAAACCGAGTATCTGCGCGCCCTCCATCATCAGCTCGAATTCAAAGGACCAGGTGAAGAAGTCCTTTCCGTCGAAAGGTCTTGATGTTTGCAGTTTCAGGACATGTGCGAATTGCGACTGAACTTGTAAAGCGTCCATTGGTTTGTCTTGCGCAGGTGGAGGTTGAGGCAGGAAGCTGATCGACCCGCGCTCGTACGGGGCGAAGGTGGGTTGCTGCTGTTGATTCCCTCGCGCATATGACGACCCGTCAAGGCTCATGGGTTTCGCTCCGTTGTTGCTGTTGTGTGTCTGTGCAGGTCCCGACTGCTGGTGTTGCTCGTAGAAGGACATAAAGGAGAAGAATTTCTCCATCATGCTCTGGTCGAAGTCAGAGGGATGGTTCGTGGGGGTCTCGGTTGACGTTCCCCTTGGTCTTGCTGCCGTGCCTTCCTCTATCTGCAGGCCAGAGGCTGGCGGTGGAGTAGGAGTAGTGCCGAGGAGCCATTAGGGGAGCTCCTTTCCTTGTTTGTTGCCATGTCTTGTAATGATCTTAAAAAAAAAAGTTAGAGTTTTCCCCTGTCAGCTCTCATACCCATCTTGGGCTGAGAAAGCCCTTAAGGATCTTTGCAGAGGATAACTCTGGGTAGGATATTTGTAATAGCGGAAGCGTTTAATGAAACTTGTGAACCGACCTTGCACTAGTGTGTGAGAGCAAAGTTGATTGAATTAAACAAGCAAATACAAGGTTTTATATAAGAGTACAGGGAATACGAATAGATAGATAACTGTATTGCTGTTGCGATTCGATACAGTGCGACTCGGGCAACTGCTCTGTAACGAGTCAGTTGTGTGTCCTTAACTGTCGCGCTGTAATTGTCGAGTCAAAGGTCGCTGACCTTTGACTTTCCCGTAACCTCCAGGCGGTTACCCTAACCTCCGAGGTTTGACTCGATGCTTCGATTCGGACTGCTTCGCTAGTGTCTTGGGTTTTGACACGACAGAAGCGCACTATGACTTATTGTTTCCAACACATTCCTGTGTCGACACAAATGTCTCAATCGAGTCATAAAACCGTTGTACTGGTCTGCATCGCATTACAACTAAGTATCAAACATTTCCACCGCACTGCATCTCTTTGTTTGAGACGCGCTTCAGGAATGTACCCTTATAAGACACCCTAAACCGTCCCAAATACAAGATAACCAAAGCATTTTTGCCCGTGTACGAGATAAGACATATGTCTTGTACCCGGGCGATGACGGTACCGTATTACATTGTTCCTACCCAGAATTTAGTCCTGCAATGATCCTAAGGGCTTAATCAGCCCAACACATTTCACACACACCCACACACACAAGCACAAAAACACAAGTGCACACACCACCCTCAAAAAGGAAGAAAAGGTATTCAAAGAGATATCTACGAGGGTGGAAAAGCGTAGAACAAACAAGAGACAAAGAGCAGACCCCTTCATCAAGCTGGTCTACATCAATCTAACTGCAGACTCAAACTGCCGTTTTGTCTTCAAAAGCAGCATCACTTCATTTTAACGAATTAGATTGCTGGTCTTTATAAGTATTCCACAAGTGTAGTGATTAGCGGACACACATGAAAGACAGCAGCAAGCCAGCTGATGTGGGTCTGTTGAGAGGCACACAAAGAAAGAAACGGGTACATGCAGGGAGCGAACGCACATGAGGAGAGGTGGGTGTGCATGGCAGCATGGTATTGAGTGGCTTCTCAGCATGGCATGAGAGTGGCTTCAAGAATCAATAACGATTTTGAAGCAGGGCAGGAATGAGACAAATACATGGAAAACACCAGATCAAATCGGGTCGGGTTGGGTTGGGTGTAATGACTTACGAGATACCCTCTGCATTGATGCTGGTGAGTGAGAGGGCAGGCAGCTGAGCCACTAGCGTAACGCAGTTGGCATAGCGATACACGTTGACAAACCGGCAGTGCCCCGCTCCTCCCGGTGCCCGGTCCACCCGCCAGTACGACCGGACGTTGCGAGCGATTGTCAAAGGCAGGTTGGTGCATCCGGAGTATCTCACACGCATGGTGAAGGTGGAGGGCGTCAAGGCATATTCCGGCTGGTTGTAGAAGGTGAGACTCGCAGAGGAGACGGTTGGGGAGGCTCCTGGAGGGGAGGGGGTTGCGGGTGGAGATAGTAATAAGGCAGGTTGGTGCATCCGATGTGGTTCACACGCATGGTGAAGGTGTAGGGCGTCAAGGCATATCCAGGCTGGTTATACAAGGTGAGACTCGCTGAGGAGATGGTTGGGAGGGCGCCTGAAAGACAAACAGAAAAAGGGAGAACAGAAGATCAGGGTATGGGGTGTGGCATGGGGTATGGGGTGCGGCATGGGGTATGGGGTGCGGCATGGAGTATGGGGTGCGGCATGGGGTATGGGGTGCGGCATGGGTATGGGGTGCGGCATGGGGTATGTGGTGCGGCATGGGGTATGTGGTGCGGCATGGGGTATGTGGTGCGGCATGGGGAACGGGGTGCGGCATGGGGAATGGGGTGCGGCATGGGGAATGGGGAGCGGCATGGGGTATGGGGTGCGGCATGGGGTATGGGGTGCGGCATGGGGAACGGGGTGCGGCATGGGGAATGGGGTACAACATGGGGAATGGGGTGCGGCATGGGGAATGGGGTGCGGCATGGGGAATGGGGTGCGGCATGGGGAATGGGGTGCGGCATGGGGAATGGGGTGCGGCATGGGGTATGGGGTGCGGCATGGGGAATGAGGTGCGGCATGGGGAATGGGGTGCGGCATGGGGAATGGGGTGCGGCATTGGGGCACCTGAAAGACGAACAGAAAGTGGGAGAACAGAAAATCAGGGTATGGGGTTTGGCATGGGGTATGGGTTTAGGGGGGTATAGGTTTGACATGGATGTATGCACCATTGATAAATAAACCTAGCTTAACTAGCACCTTGATTATCCAGAAACGCAAAAACATTTGTAATAATTGAATGCAAGCATAATGGCCTTACCACGACGCAACAAGTGGCGGTCATGCGAAAGCCAGAAGGGCAGACGCAGTAAGGTGAGGTAAGGTTGGTTTTGAGGCGTCGCACATGACCTACCACGTGACTGACTTGACGTGACTTATTCCACATGACTTATTCCACGTGACTTACCACGGACGCAACCAGTGGCGGTCATGCCAAAGCCAGAAGGGCAGGTGCAGTAAGGAGCCTTTCTGGTGGACGAAACCAGCGTGCATGTGGCCAGGGACGGGCAGTTGCCACACGTGGTCGGCCCTGGTGAGCGGGGGGGGGGAGGGGGGGGGAGAAATAATGGGAATATGTCAGTGCAATAGGAGAGAAGGAAGAATAGAAGGGGAGAAGCTTAGTGCTTGGGCTGGGCTGGGCAAAGAGGGGAGAAGGGGAGCAATTTAAAATAGATGGCAGCATGCACGCAACAAAGCATATGACAGCACAATGAGCATGATGCATAGTGTGATAGAGAGGCATGTAACAGCACGGAAATACAGTGGGGGCAGAATAAGATGAGAGCATGCAATCATAGTAGTGTGCACGGGCAAAACGATGCAAAGGAGGAAGCAAGGAAGGAATGAGAGTGGACGCAGGTGGTGTGGGGGGGAGGCAGGCGGAGGTTGTAATCCATCCAAGGGTATCAAAACAACATAACGTACCAACACAAGTGCCGTAGAGCGGCGCGTGGCCTGGCTTGCACACACAGTCCGCCGTGCCGTCTTCCAACTTCCTACAAGTTTTGGGCTTCTCACACCACTTAAGGATGCAATTATCTGGGGAGGAGAAAAGGAACAAGGGCCTTGAGGGAGAGCGTGAGCGAGAAAGGAAACAAGGATGATGAGAGAGGATAGGGGCAGAGAGAGAGAGCACAAGAGAGGACGGGCACAAGGAAGAGCACGTGCGAGAGAAGAAGAGGTAGAGGGAGAGGAAGAGGGAGAGGAAGAGGGAGAGGAAGAGGGAGAGGAAGAGGGAGAGGAAGAGGGAACGGGGAAGAGGGAGAGAGGAAGAGCACACACAAAGAACACTGAACCCACAGCAGCAACACACAGAAGAACGCAAGAGCACACCTCAACACACAGCAAGGCACAGCATCCTTACCCATGCACGTGTTTTGAGACGTCTCAAAACAACGCACAGCAAGGCACAGCGCGGCAGAGCAAGGCACAGCGTGGCACAGCGCGGCACAGCAAGGCACAGCGCGGCACAGCGAGGCACAGCGCGGCACAGTGCGGCACAGCGAGGCACAGCGAGGCACAGCGTCCTTACCCGTGCACGTCCTGCCGTCATCTTGCAGCGTGAAGCCAATGTCACACACACACGACGCCATCCCCGCCTCATCCTTCACACAGCGGCCGTTCTTACCGCATGCCTGCAGTTTGCACGCGTCTGCCAGGAGAGGGGAGGAGTCACAGGGAAAATAAACGCAAAGTTTTAGGAAATGAAGGAATAATTAAGTAAAAGCAAATGGAATTTGAAAGCGCATTTTACCAGTACAGCACGCAATGATGGCAGCACACGACAGCCTTACCTGGCCACTCCACATGCCGCCACCACTCTGTAACAAATAAAGCGCATCGACATTGTCACACATTCCAGCACAGCACTGATCAACACAGCCGCTATTGGTCATGGCATAACCCATGTGGCGTTGGGGCCGAAGTTGCGTACCGTGCATGGGTCTGCAGGCAGACACGTGCGGGCGGCGACAACACAATCGGCCCGGCCAGAAACCAAAACGCCATTTGCAGGAACCACAGCTGCGAGCTGAAATGCGGATAACAAATAAATCACGCCATGATAAGCATGCAGCGGAGTGGAGTGGAGCAATCCTGCATGCGAATGGAATCATTCTGACAGCACTAGCACCCACCAACGCAGTTGCCCATATCATCACATGCACAGCACAAGCGGCCAGAAACCATAACGCCATATGAAGAAGCTGTGAGGTGAAATGCAGATACCAAATTATGCCATGATAAGCCATGCTAGGCTGCAGCAGAGTGAAGTGGAGTGGAGGAGGAGCAATAATGTTGCATGCAGATGCAACCTCTCTATTCTGACAACACCAGCACCCACCAACGCAGTTGCCCTCGGCGTCCTTCTCTTGGCCCCGCGGGCAGCGGCAGTTACTAGCAGCAGGTGGCAGGACGACGGCTGGAGCCCTGGGCGCCTTCTCTGCGAGACACAACACAACGGGGGGCAGGGAGGGATGAGGGGGCTTTTGAGTCGGCTCCAAAGCACCCACCAGCGGCGGTTGCTCGCAGCAGGTTGCAGGACGATGGCAGCAGGCGTGGGCGCATTCTCTGCGAGACACAACTCAACACAACGGGGGGCAGGGAGGCAGGCGGTGCGTTTGTGTCGCCTCAAAAGCAGACGGCAGCAGCCCTTAGACATTCTCTGCGAGACACAATGGGGGCCAGGGAGTGCAGGTGAAGTTGGAAGCATGTATGTGCTGTGCAGGCATACATGCAGGCATACATGCAGGCATACATGCAGGCATACATGCAGGCATACATGCAGGCATACATGCAGGCATACATGCAGGCATACATGCAGGCATGCATGCAGGCATGCATGCAGGCATCCATGCAGGCATACATGAGGCATCCATGCAGGCATACATGAGGCATGCATGCAGGCATGCATGCAGGCATACATGCAGGCATACATGCTGGCATACATGCTGGCATACATGCAGGCATGCATGCAGGCATGCATGCAGGCATGTATGTAGGCATGCATGCAGGCATGCATGCAGGCATACATGCAGGCATGCATGCAGGCATCCATGCAGGCATACATGCAGGCATGCATGCAGGCATGCATGCAGGCATGCATGCAGGCATGCATGCAGGCATGCATGCAGGCATACATGCAGGCATGCATGCAGGCATGCATGCAAGCATACAGGCAGGCATACATGCAGGCATGCATGCAGGCATACATGCAGGCATACATGCAGGCATACATGCAGGCATACATGCAGGCATACATGCAGGCATAAATGCAGGCATACATGCACAGATATTTGAAATGTTAGCAGCAACGATGGGAGGCAGGGAGGCGCAGGTCAAGAGGGAACGGTGGCAAAGAGAGTGAGTGAGGGAGATGGGGAGAGAGAGGGAAAGAAAAGAGCACGGCAGCGCAGAGCAGCCTTACCAGCGCACGACTTGCCATCATCTCGCAGGGTGGAGCCAGCGTCACACACGCAGTTTGGCCTCAAATCCCAACTCATGGCAGCACGGTAGAGCAGAAGCCTTGCTTAGAGGCGCCTCAAAAATAGCAGCACAGAGCAGCCTTACCAGCGCACGACTTGCCATCACAGCAGCCTTACCAGCGCACGACTTGCCATCGTCTTGCAGCGTGAAGCCAGCGTCACACACACACGACGCCACCCCCTCCTCGTCCTTCACGCACTGCCCGTTCACACCGCACTCCAGGAGCACACACGTGTCTGTCAGGGGAGGGAGGAGCGGCGGGAGCAGAAAAATCGCAACAGCAACAGTGAATGCAAAGCACACATGGCAGCGGCAGCACATGGCACATCAGCAGCAGTTCACACCTACATTTGCCTCCTCCTCCTCCTCCTCCTCCTCCAGCAGCAGTCCTGCGGTCCTTGTCCAGCGCAAAGCCAAGCTGACAAACACAGGATGCCATCACAGCTTTTGCGTTGACTCAAGTGTCCTGCCGTCCTCTTCCAGCGCAAAGCCAAGGACAGGCAAGGTGACTACTGTGGTCACAAACACAGGATGCCATCACAGGATAGCAAGCAGCACGGGATAGCAAGCAGCACGGGATAGCAAGCAGCACGGGATAGCAAGCAGCACGGGATAGCAAGCAGCACTGACCAACACAGCCGTCGGCGGTCTTGGTGAAGCCAGTGTTGCAGCGACAGGTGGTGCGCCCCCCCTCCTGCTCCTCCTCACAGTACCCGTTCTCCCCACAGTCTGCACTCGTGCACACCTCTGCCAGGTTCACACAGCAGCACGAGAGGGAGGACAGAAGAGTACGCACAGGAGAGGAGAAAAACAAAATTGTTGGAGTGGGAAAGTTTGAAACGAGGGGCAGCAATGGCACGTGTGTGAAGCATGCAAGGAAACAAGGGCGATAGTAGTTCATGTGCAGGACGCTGGATTGGGCAGCAGCGGAGGTGGGAAGCAACACAGGGGTGAAGGGTGGGTGAAGGTGAAGGGCGGGTGAAGGTGAAGGGCGGGTGAAGGTGAAGGGCGGGTGAAGGTGAAGGGCGGGTGAAGGTGAAGGGCGGGTGAAGGTGAAGGGCGGGTGAAGGTGAAGGGCGGGTGAAGGTGAAGGGCGGGTGAAGGTGAAGGGCGGGTGAAGGTGAAGGGCGGGTGAAGGTGAAGGGCGGGTGAAGGTGAAGGGCGGGTGAAGGTGAAGGGCGGGTGAAGGTGAAGGGCGGGTGAAGGTGAAGGGCGGGTGAAGGTGAAGGGCGGGTGAAGGTGAAGGGCGGGTGAAGGTGAAGGGCGGGTGAAGGTGAAGGGCGGGTGAAGGTGAAGGGCGGGTGAAGGTGAAGGGCGGGTGAAGGTGAAGGGCGGGTGAAGGTGAAGGGCGGGTGAAGGTGAAGGGCGGGTGAAGGTGAAGGGCGGGTGAAGGTGAAGGGCGGGTGAAGGTGAAGGGCGGGTGAAGGTGAAGGGCGGGTGAAGGTGAAGGGCGGGTGAAGGTGAAGGGCGGGTGAAGGTGAAGGGCGGGTGAAGGTGAAGGGCGGGTGAAGGTGAAGGGCGGGTGAAGGTGAAGGGCGGGTGAAGGTGAAGGGCGGGTGAAGGTGAAGGGCGGGTGAAGGTGAAGGGCGGGTGAAGGTGAAGGGCGGGTGAAGGTGAAGGGCGGGTGAAGGGTGGGTGAAGGTGAAGGGCGGGTGAAGGTGAAGGGCGGGTGAAGGTGAAGGGCGGGTGAAGGTGAAGGGCGGGTGAAGGTGAAGGGTGGGTGAAGGTGAAGGGTGGGTGAAGGTGAAGGGCGGGTGAAGGTGAAGGGCGGGTGAAGGTGAAGGGTGGGTGAAGGTGAAGGGTGGGTGAAGGTGAAGGGCGGGTGAAGGTGAAGGGTGGGTGAAGGTGAATGGTGGGTGAAGGTGAAGGGCGGGTGAAGGTGAAGGGCGGGTGAAGGTGAAGGGTGGGTGAAGGTGAATGGTGGGTGAAGGCGAGCTCACGCGCGCAGGAGGCGTTGGGCAGCAGCTTGAAGCCTCTGTCATGTCACACACGCAGTACCTTTTGAGAAATCTCTAAGGTGAGGCACTCACGCGCGCAGGAGGCGTTGGGCAGCAGCTTAAAGCCCCTGTCGCACACGCAGTCCGCCCAGCCCGCCACGCTCTTGAGGCACCTCGCGTTGGCGCCGCAGCTGCGATCCGTGCATGCCAGGCGCAGGGCCTCCGCCGCCCTGGGCGCACACGCTGCGAGACACCGACCAGGGAAGAGAGGGGGAAGGGGTGGGAAGGGGTGGGAAGGGGTGGAGGAGGTGGAGGAGATGGTCAAGATGGAAGGGCAGAGGAGGGCTGGCGATGTTAAGGCTTACGAGGAACTATGCAGACATGTATGTGCAACAATAGTTTTATTTGGAAAATTCTGAGAAAAACAAAAAACGCAGATAGCTGATAGCTGACTTACTAACTAACTTACTTTACAAGCGCAGATAGCTGTTCGCAAGGCCGGTGAGGGAATGAGCATACCTGAGAGCATGAGAGCAGCCAGCGCAGCAGCGATCACAAGCCTGAGGCCAGAGCGTTGCATCGCAGCGACGTCGCACGCAGCCATGGCTGATCTGATTCTCGAAAGCGAGAACTCGCGAAAAACGCAGCCCGGGGAGGCCCTTGAGTAGGTGCTTAACGGTTGGAATCGGTCAAGCAGGAAAGGGTGGAAAGGAATTATTTGTGGACCGGAATGATGATGGGTTAAGTCCCATCGCTAAAATACTTCCACCGCCGGGCTCAGTCCCGCCTCCTAGGCTGGCAGAGTACGCTCAGCCCTAGATGCCTCCTAGGCTGCCGGATGCCGCGGTTGGAACTCCGCCCTTCCGCCCTCCCTTTGCGGGTGCAACAGTAGCGCTGCACGCAGTGACCAATGGCAGGCATCCCCTGGGCCCTTGCAAATCGGTTTTGTCCAATGTTACGGCAGCACGCGGCATGACGCAATCCAAACAGCTCAGACGTCGGGTTCACGCCGACCGTCAAGCTCCAAGAAACTTGGAGGGAGGCAGTTTCGGACTCCCCAAGAACATCACTTGGAATCTTATCGTTGTTCACGTTTCTGTAGCCGTCCTTGACGGCACGATGTACTGTACTGTACTGTACTGTACTGGCGCTACAGTACGTCCTACCGCCGCGCGGAAGATATGCACTAGCCCGGCTTGAGCTTGAGCCATGACTCTTCGATGTCTACAGTACCCAGGATGCTTCTATTAGATGATTCCGGCACGCGGAGGAACGCTGCGCGGCGAGCTCTCGTTTTGGGCTCAATTCTTCGGAAGGGAATCATCGGATGACGTGGCGCGCCCTCCCCAGCATTTGGACAAAACAGCATCGGATGAAGGACGGTCAATAAAATTTGACTCTTGCGACAAATTCGAGCTAAAGGGAGTCAGATCGCCTTCCTGCGAACTTGGGACAGGACAGCCCCCAAAAGTACAACTATATGGGTCCAGCGTGGCAGATTTCACGTTGCTTCCACGCTGCTTTCACGTTCTCACCTACTCTCCAGTGTGCGATCAGAATTTCCTGCACGACTCCATCTACGATCTGTGATCGCATCTCAAATCTAGTTGGTCAAGCCCAACCGTCCGATCATGACGGGTGTTCGCACGTTGGGGACCTCTGAACAATTGCGACGTCCAGATTCGTTCCCCCTCCACCTCATCATCCTACCCAATCTCTTGCACGCGCGGAATGCACTTTTCGCTGTCCCCACTTCAATGTCCGGACACCCCAGGAAGGCGATCTCATTAGCTGTCCAGGCGGAAGGGTCTCGGTGATGTTCTGCTGCGCCGTACAAAAATTGCGCAGCAGGAGATTCTCAGCTGAACACAAGCACTGTACATTGGGCACAAATTCCCCAAAAGACGGCAGGTTTGCCAGTACTAAACTGGTGCTTCTGTTCTGTGCTGAATGGTGGTTGATTTGGAGCGACGACCAACCTTCGAGTTGCTGTTGGATTCGCGCTCAGCAAGAAAAGATAGGAATGGAACACGAACGAAAGAAAGCAAGACGAAGGGAGGACGAAGGGAAACGAATCTGTGCCACACATCTGCAAATTCATGGACGAATCATAGCTACGTCGGGTGACTCTCATTGGGTGCTTTCAATCAATCCAACTGATAGCGGAAGCCCAAGCCCAATGGGTGCCGCACATCTCAGCAATCTAGAAGCTGGGGCCAACATCACAGGCATGCAAAACAGTCTGGTAACCCTATTCGATTGTATGCAAAACCGTCGATACCCCAGTTCCACTGCGCAAATCTGTCTGGTACCGCCACTCAAAACACTGTGTAACAGCTGACGCAGCACAAAAAGAAAGCAATACGTGCAACAATCTAATACGCTTTCAATTTATTTTCATTCTATTCTTACCACGCCTTTTTTGGCGCCTGACAACGATTCTTGCGGGCAACAATTTTCCGTAGAATGTGCACGATAATTTCGACCGGAAAATTCGATGGAATGAAAGTAATATATATTGCTACCGGGTGCTGTTAGGGCAGGCAAGAAAAAAATAAAACCCCTAGGGACCGGGACTCATTTCAGGAAAGGATCAACCCTAAACACGGGAAAGGGCATTGTTTTTAGGGTTGATGCCTCCCGAGTCGCATCCCTTTCCGATGGGGTTTTATTTTTTCTGCATTTGTAGCGAACAATGCTGCTCATATGGCAGAACAGTCGCCCGAATAAATCGAGTTTTATAGGACAACAAAGCGTGGTAGAAATCTGATTTTGAAGTGCATAGAAACGCATTTCTAGGGCAATATGTCAATAACTCCGAAACCGAGGTATCGACGGTTTTGCATACAATCGAATAGGGTTACCATAATATTTTGCATGACTGTGATGTTGGCCCAAGAAGCTGCTTCAACGTTGAGGGTCCTTCTCCTGACGTGTCCTGTCCTCCTGCGACTATTCCCGCTGTCAGATTTATATGACATAGTTACTGTAGGCTATAGTGAGATAGCACATATGGGGTACAGCTTTCTAGGGTTTGTACTTGTTGAGAAGAATAGAACGAGAATGAAATGACTATGAATGAAGTGAAAACATATAGGAAACCCTAATTGGGTTGTACCCCCTATGGGATACCCCACTATAGCCTACACAAATAAGCAAGCTATAATGTTCTGACACACCCCCATAGGCAAAGTGGGGGAGAACAAGGGGTCACAAGACCAGTCAAGCAAAGCAAAGCAAAGCTCAGGGTGGATCACAAAGTCACCACACATTCCGAGCACAAGTTCAAAGGCCAGAAGGCCAGTCCACATGCAAGATCACATATATAGGTAAAGAAGAGGCTAAGCAAGCAAGAGTAAGAGTATATATATGTGACAGTACAAGCAAGGTCAAGAAGTGAGCAAGTGAGGCAAGACAGGCACAAGACCTAACTGAGTGCAGAAGCGCTGATGATCACAAGGCGCAAGTGCCTTGGTGAAGACATCAGCAGTGTTGGCCTCGGAGGCCACGTACGCAAGCCGCAACTGTCCACGCTGCTGCAGCTCACGCGCAAGAAAGTAGCGGAGAGCAATGTGCTTTGTCCTGTGCTCCAGTCGCTGCTCTCGACACAAGGCCAGCATGGCCTTGTTGTCTACGTACAAGACGGGAGGAGAACGAGGCGGCTCTCCAAGGTCGGTCAGCAGGTAGGTGAGCCAGCGAAGCTCCTGTGCAGCCATAGCCCCGACGTAGATCTCAGCCTCACAACTGGAGCCGAGAACAGAAGACGAGTGGGTAGCCCGCCACGAAACAGAGCCGGAACCAAGACTGAAAGTGTAACCCTGTGACGACCGCTGCGTAGCCTGGTCGTCAGCCCAAGAAGCGTCCGCGTGCCCAGTGAGGACCACTGGACTGCGCCCTCCAAGCACTAGCCCCATGCCCGACGTACTGCACAAGTAGCGCAACACCCTCTTCGCTGCAGCCATGTGCTCTGGTCGGTGTCTCCCATGAGCAACATAGCGTGCAAGAATGCTAAGAGGGTATGCAAGGTCAGGTCGAGTGCAGGTCATCAGGTACATGAGGCAGCCAACAAGCTTTGGATACGGGCCACTCGACTCTACGGACTCATCCGAAGGCAGAGCTGAGAGCGAGTGGCGAGTAGGCAGAGGAGTGGCCTGAGGCGAGAAGTACGTGAAGCCGAAGCGCTGAAGGACCTGCTGTACCATGTGTGACTGAGTCAGGGTAATGGTGCGGCGTGCTCTGTCCCGGGTGATCTGTAAGCCAAGGTAGCTTCGCAGTTCACCCAGGTCAGTGCACGTGTGTCTCTTCTGCAGCTCGGACTTCACGTAGGCGAGTCCAGCAGTGTCTGTTGAGAATAGAACGAGAATGAATGAACTATGAATGAAGTGAGTACAAATAGGAAACCCTAACTGGGTTGTACCCCCTATGGGATACCCCACTACAGCCTACACAATAGTATAAGCTATATATATATATGTTCTGACACACCCCCATAGGCAAAGTGGGGGGAGAACAAGGGGTCACAAGACCAGTCAAGCAAGACAAAGCAAAGCTCAGGGTGGATCACAAAGTCACCACACAGTCCGAGCACAAGAGCAAGGCCAAAGGCCAGTTCACATGCAAGAGTACAGACATATATATAAAGCTATACAAGCAAGAGCAGGTATATATATGTCACAGTACAAGTAAAGTCAAGAGGAGAGCAAGTGAGGCAAGACAGGCACAAGACCCAGCTGGGTGCAGAAGCGCTGATGGTCACAAGGCGCAAGTGCCTTGGTGAACACATCAGCAGTGTTGGCCTCAGAGGCCACGTACGCAAGCCGCAACTGTCCACGCTGCTGTAGCTCACGAGCAAGGAAGTAGCGAAGAGCAATGTGCTTCGTTCTGTGCTCCAGACGCTGCTCTCGACACAAGGCCAGCATCGCCTTGTTGTCTACGTACAGCACTAGAGGAGAACGAGGCGGCTCTCCAAGGTCAGTCAGCAGGTAGGTGAGCCAGCGAAGCTCCTGTGCAGCCATGGCCCCTGCGTAGATCTCAGCCTCACAACTGGAGCTGAGAACCGAAGACGAACGAGTAGCCCGCCACGAGACAGAGCCGGAACCAAGGCTGAAGGTGTAACCCTGTGACGACCGCTGCGTAGCCTGGTCGTCAGCCCAAGAAGCGTCCGCGTGACCTGTAAGGACCACTGGACTCCGCCCTCCAAGCACTAGCCCCATCCCCGACGTACTGCACAGGTAGCGCAATACCCTCTTCGCTGCAGCCATGTGCTCTGGTCGGTGTCTCCCAGGAGCAACATAGCGTGCAAGAATGCTCAGAGGGTATGCAAGGTCAGGTCGTGTGCAGGTCATCAGGTACATGAGGCAGCCAACAAGCTCTGGGTACGGGCCACTCGACTCTACGGACTCATCCGAAGGCAGAGCTGAGAGCGAGTGGCGGGTAGACAGAGGAGTGGCCTGAGGCGAGGAGTACGTGAAGCCGAAGCGCTGAAGGACCTGCTGCACCATGTGTGACTGAGTCAAGGTAATGGTGCGGCGTGCTCTGTCCCGAGTGATCTGCAAGCCAAGGTAGCTGCGCGGTTCACCCAGGTCTGTGCACGTGTGTCTCTTC